TCCTTCCCTCCGTCTTCCCCCTCCTTCCCTCCATCCTCCTTCCCTCCGTCCTCCTTCCCCCGTCCTCCTTCCCCCATCCTCCTTCCCTCCGTCCTTCTTCCCTTCGTCCTCCTTCCCTCCATCCTTCTTCCCTTCATCCTCTTTCCCTCCGTCCTTCTTCCCTCCATCCTCCTTCCCTCCATCCTCCTTCCCTTCATCCTTCTTCCCTTCGTCCTCCTTCCCTTCATCCTCCTTCCCTCCGTCCTTCTTCCCTTCGTCCTCCTTCCCCTCGTCCTCCTTCCCTTCATCCTCCTTCCCTCCGTCCGTCTTCTCCCCGTCCTTCTTCCCTCCATCCTCCTTCCCTCCGTCCTCCTTCCCTCCGTCCTCCTTCCCCCCATCCTTCTTCCCTTCGTCCTCCTTCCCTTCGTCCTCCTTCCCTTCGTCCTCCTTCCCTCCATCCTCCTTCCCCCATCCTTCTTCCCTCCGTCCTCCTTCCCTCCGTCCTCCTTCCCTCCGTCCTCCTTCCCTCCATCCTTCTTCCCCCCAACCTCCTTCCCTTCGTCCTCCTTCCCTTCATCCTCCTTCCCTCCGTCCGTCTTCCCCCCAACCTTCTTCCCTTCATCCTCCTTCCCTCCGTCCGTCTTCCCTCCGTCCTCCTTCCCTCCGTCCTTCTTCCCCCATCCTCCTTCCCTCTGTCCTTCTTCCCCCATCCTCCTTCCCTCTGTCCTTCTTCCCCCATCCTCCTTCCCTCCGTCCTTCTTCCCTCCGTCCTCCTTCTCTCCATCCTCCTTCTCTCCAGCCTCCTTCCCTCCAGCCTCTGTGTCTCCTCCTGTGTGACCTGCAGGTGAGAAACAGGTGTGAGGTGTCAGCTGTCAGGTAGGTGATGAGTGAAGAACAGAACAGAATCTGTTTCCTCTTCTAGTTCAGGACAACAGATTAATACAAACTGTATAAAACAATATGTATAAAGAGAGAAAATACTGGTGGATTTTTCTTAATTTAACAAAGGAAACGGATGATCTGACTAAATATGACTAAAACTGATCCAGCTGATCTTTATAATTTGCAGACTGAGAGTTCGTTAAAACATGTCTGAGACTTTTGGAAGGTCAAATCCTCGACTCTCTGAACCTGTGTTTGTTTATTATGAGGCTGAAACATCTGAACCTGTGATTCAGATTCAAGCTCTGTGGGAGTTTCCCCCCCAAGAGGGACAAAAGGACCCCCCTGATGATCAACGATGGTCGCTCACAGTGGACATAGATGGCTTCTTTCACTCCTCTTTAAAACCATCTGTCCTCTCTGTCCAAAATGTGAACATTAGCATCCTCGAAAGGGTGTCCTTTATCCTGTGGAGGTGGCTCTTCTATGTCCATCAGAATGGTGGGATCAATAGGATCAACAGGTGCTCCATGACCCTCCTGGGGGACACTCCCATAGGGCTTAAAAATCTGGGAGATCCACCAGTTGCTCTTAGAACTGAAGAAGCTTCTCGGATTAAACGTTTTAAACAAACTTGAAGAGGTCCAGCTCCTTACAATAGTTTTTTACAGTTGTTACACAGACCAACTGTGTATTATGGCTGTTATGTATTTGCTCTGGCAGGTACGTTTATAGCACAAAGATAATGTGTTAATTTATCAGCAGTTTATCACAGCTGGTCACAGAGATACTGATGATTTCAGCATGAGAGGTTCAAAGCCACACTGGGATCAGTCTCAGGAGTTTGGAAACTGTTTCCAGATCAGTAACTCAGCTCAGCTGGTCTCATTACAGCGAGAGGGCAGCCATGTTTTTAACACAGCTGCAGTAAAGATACAGTGGGGCAAAAAAGTATTTAGTCAGCCACCGATTGTGCAAGTTCCCCCACCTAAAATGATGACAGAGGTCAGTAATTTGCACCAGAGGTACACTTCAACTGTGAGAGACAGAATGTGAAAAAAAAATCCATGAATCCACATGGTAGGATTTGTAAATAATTTATTCGTAAATCAGGGTGGAAAATAAGTATTTGGTCAATAACAAAAATACAACTCAATACTTTGTAACATAACCTTTGTTGGCAATAACAGAGGTCAAACGTTTACTATAGGTCTTTACCAGGTTTGCACACACAGTAGCTGGTATTTTGGCCCATTCCTCCATGCAGATCTTCTCGAGAGCAGTGATGTTTTGGGGCTGTCGCCGAGCAACACGGACTTTCAACTCCCGCCACAGATTTTCTATGGGGTTGAGGTCTGGAGACTGGCTAGGCCACTCCAGGACTTTCAAATGCTTCTTACGGAGCCACTCCTTTGTTGCCCGGGCGGTGTGTTTTGGATCATTGTCATGTTGGAAGACCCAGCCGCGTTTCATCTTCAAAGTTCTCACTGATGGAAGGAGGTTTTGGCTCAAAATCTCACGATACATGGCCCCATTCATTCTGTCCTTAACACGGATCAGTCGTCCTGTCCCCTTGGCAGAAAAACAGCCCCATAGCATGATGTTTCGACCCCCATGCTTCACAGTAGGTATGGTGTTCTTGGGATGCAACTCAGTATTCTTCGTCCTCCAAACACGACGAGTTGAGTTTATACCAAAAAGTTCTACTTTGGTTTCATCTGACCACATGACATTCTCCCAATCCTCTGCTGTATCATCCATGTGCTCTCTGGCAAACTTCAGACGGGCCTGGACATGCACTGGCTTCAGCAGCGGAACACGTCTGGCACTGCGGGATTTGATTCCCTGCCGTTGTAGTGTGTTACTGATGGTGACCTTTGTTACTTTGGTCCCAGCTCTCTGCAGGTCATTCACCAGGTCCCCCCGTGTGGTTCTGGGATCTTTGCTCACCGTTCTCATGATCATTTTGACCCCACGGGATGAGATCTTGCGTGGAGCCCCAGATCGAGGGAGATTATCAGTGGTCTTGTATGTCTTCCATTTTCTGATGATTGCTCCCACAGTTGATTTCTTCACACCAAGCTGCTTGCCTATTGTAGATTCACTCTTCCCAGTCTGGTGCAGGTCTACAATACTTTTCCTGGTGTCCTTCGAAAGCTCTTTGGTCTTGGCCATGGCGGAGTTTGGAGTCTGACTGTTTGAGGCTGTGGACAGGTGTCTTTTATACAGATGATGAGTTCAAACAGGTGCCATTCATACAGGTAACGAGTGGGGGACAGAAAAGCTTCTTACAGAAGACGTTACAGGTCTGTGAGAGCAGAGATTTTCCATGTTTGAGGTGACCAAATACTTATTTTCCACCCTAATTTACGAATAAATTCTTTACAAATCCTACCATGTGAATTCATGGATTTTTCTTTCACATTCTGTCTCTCACAGTTGAAGTGTACCTCTGGTGCAAATTACTGACCTCTGTCATCATTTTAAGTGGGGGAACTTGCACAATCGGTGGCTGACTAAATACTTTTTTGCCCCACTGTATATACTTTACAATAAGCACTGCCTGTATTCAGATAAACTGCCAGCTTAGTTTGATTTGATCTAAACCTGACAGAGTGACAGCAGCCGTCCTCTCTCTGTAACAGCAACAACATGCAGGGAGCAGCGAGTCTGCTCAGCTACACATGGATTAAACTCTACGGTTAAACTATCAGGACATAATAGAAGTCAGTGAATTAATAAATAACAAACTAGCTCAGCTGGAGTCTCACATTGTCACAGATGAGGATGATAACACTGACTCCAGAGTGAGGAGGACACATCTGTGCTGAAAATAACCAATGAAGGCCATCTGAGTGTGGATGGATGCTGGACTTCAGCAGTCAGTCAGACGCTCGTCTCCATTCATGCGGTTTGATGCACTTCATATATATAAAGGGTAACTTGGTTGGATGGGACAGAGAGCTGTGACCATTGACCAGATCACAGGTACAGCAGAGTTTTAGCCTGATGCTAAAGAAGCACGTTTTCAAACACATGATGATTTACTTTTCAAAAGTCTCAAGCCAAACATGACCCCTGACCCCACATGGTTGTTATGGGCGATCGTGGCTCAAGAGTTGGGAGTTCGCCTTGTAATGGAAGGTTGCCGGTTCGAGCCCCGGCTTGGACAGTCTCGGTCGTTGTGTCCTTGGGCAAGACACTTCACCCGTTGCCTACTGGTGGTGGTCAGAGGGCCCGGTGGCGCCAGTGTCCGGCAGCCTCGCCTCTGTCAGTGCGCCCCAGGGTGGCTGTGGCTACAATGTAGCTGCCATCACCAGTGTGTGAATGTGTGGATGGTGGATGACTGGATATGTAAAGCGCTTTGGAGTCCTTAGGGACTAGTAAAGCGCTATATAAATACAGGCCATTTACCATTTAAAGATGTGGTGGGAGCTAAAGAAATATTGGAAATTATATCCATGAATTGTCACATCAGCCAGTGTGTGCTCCAGCCGTGCTGGAATAGTGCAAACGTGCTTTTGTTTTGTTCTGGTTGTTTCAAAGCAGGACGGTGACTGTTCTTTGGGTGAGATCACGTGTTTCCTGTGTAATCTAAGTTTCATGTTTACAGACGAGTTAGAGAGCAAGCGAAGAAGAGACGGATTCATAAATGTCTTTGTTTCTGCTCTAACCAAACAATGCTGCTCTACAACTCTAGACTACCAGCCACAAAGACAACAGCTGGAGAAACATCTGTCTACCTCTGACATCCACCAGCTCATCCATACAACAAACAAACATCAACAACCAGGAAGCAGCTTCACCTCTGGGGCGATCGTGGCTCAAGAGTTGGGAGTTCGCCTTGTAATCGGAAGGTTGCCGGTTCGAGCCCCGGCTCCGACAGTCTCGGTTGTTGTGTCCTTGGGCAAGACACTTCACCCGTTGCCTATTGGTGGTGGTCAGAGGGCCCAGTGTCTGGCAGCCTCGCCTCTGTCAGTGCGCCCCAGGGTGGCTGTGGCTACAATGTAGCTGCCATCACCAGTGTGTGAATGGGTGGATGACTGGTTGTGTAAAGTGTTTTGGGGTCCTTAGAGACTAGTAAAGCGCTATATAAATACAGACCATTTACCTCTGATCACACACACACTCAACTCTACTCACTCACCTGGAGGAACACTCAAGTAGACGATACTGATGATCTTCAATGAGCTGGTTCTTTCATTGAGGACACGACACATGTATGTTCCAGTGTCATTGATCCTCACATCCTTCAGAATCAAAGACACGTCTCCATACTTCATCTGTCTTTCCTGCAGATCCACCCGGTTCTTAAAAGATGGATGCTGGTGATCTGTAACAAAGCGACCAGCCTGGTACAAAAGCACAAATCCTGGCTTGTCAGTTCTGCTCCATACTACACTTCTGATCTTCTTGTTTGGAGCTCGACATGTCAGAGTGACGTCCTGTCCAGACTCAGCTGTGATGATCTTTGGGTCTGAAAGAGGAAACAACACAGAGCAGAGAGGTTAAAGGTCAAAGTACAACTATGATCAGAATGATTGACTTTAAATATTTTGTTTATTTCCTTTGACATTTGAGTTTTTAGTCATGTTGGATTTAATGAACCTCTGAACATCCAGCAGGTCACCAGTGACCCACTGAGGGGGAATTTTAGCCTCATGCTAAACATGCAAAGTGTCAGTAACTACAAGATGTTAGCTTCCACAGAACAACAACATGTGCTGATAATAAGTAAGAACAAGTCAACTCTAGACTACCAGCCACAAAGACAACAGCTGGAAACATCTGTCTACCTCTGACATCCACCAGCTCATCCATACAACAAACACACATCAACAACCAGGAAGCAGCTTCACCTCTGATCACACACACACTCAACTCTACTCACTCACCTGCAGGAACAACAGCCAGGTGGATGATGCTGGGAATCTCCAATGAGTCTGTTTCTGCCATGAACACATGACACTTGTATGTTCCAGCGTCATTAATCGTCACGTTCTTCAGAATCAAAGACACGTCTCCATCCTTCATCTGTCTGTCCTGCAGATCCACCCGGTTCTTAAAAGATGGATGCAGGTGTGTTGGATCAGATAGACCATCCTGGTACAAAAGCACATAATCTGGCTTCAGGTCAGCGTTCTTCCAGTACACAGCTAAGATGTTGTTGTTTGGAGCTCGACATGTCAGAGTGACGTTCTGTCCAGACTGAGCTGTGATGTTTTTCTGCTCTGAAAGAGGAAACAACACAGAGCAGAGAGGTTAAAGGTCAAAGTACAATTATGATCAGAATGATTGACTTTAAATATTTTTGTTTATTTCCTTTGACATTTGAGTTTTTAGTCATGTTGGATTTAATGAACCTCTGAACATCCAGCAGGTCACCAGTGACCCACTGAATTTTAGCCTCATGCTAAACATGCAAAGTGTCAGAAACTACAAGATGTTAGCTTCCACAGAAAAACAACGTGCTGATAATAAGTGAACATAATGTGTGAGAGAAAGCAGCCTCTCATTATAAGACACTGTGAGTCTCTGCATGCTGCCTTTATGGAGCTACAGCTGTTTGTATACACTGAACAAAAAGCTTTGTAGCTGCACACTGACTCCTGACACTACAACACATCACACTGACACACACATTACACTTTGTCTCTGTCACAGCTGGATTACAGATGTTAAGTGTCCACACAGACAAACTAAATCCATATTATTATCATTGTTATCATTATTCTTAACAACATGTAAACTAGTCGATGCTGGTCTATTGTCAGATAAACTCAGTTTAGTTTCTAACTGTAAACCTCACCTGCAGAGACGAACACGACGACGACAGCAAACAGCAAAGCGGAGCAGCGTGATGCAGTTACAGCAGACATTTCCGTGTCATTATTACTGATCATCCAGCGCTTCTTTGATTTGTTCTGAAGTCTAAATCTGTCGCTAATTTCAGAGAATAACTGAACCTGAGTTTAAAACCTGATGAGATTCAATTAAATTTAAGGTTTAAAAAAAGCTGAAAGATTTAAGCAACTGACTCCACACTTCCGATTTAACTACTACTACTCAGTTTTGCCGACTCCTCGGTAAGGGAAATTTCTATTGGCTGTCCTAAAATTCGCTAGAAGTCGTTAAATGACGTCATCACCCAATTTGAATAATTGTAACAGATCCTGTAGGAGAGAGAAATGACATCGTGGAAGAGACAAAGTCAGTTAAAAACACCCTAAAAGAACTTACTACATATTTAGAACTGCAACCTTTTCATGGCACAACTCCAACCCTCCTTCTTTATGATTGGAATCAGTGCATCGATTTATTTTAGACAAAAACAATGTTGTACATCTAGCGCTGCTCCAGTCAGAACGGCAGCGTCGCTCATGAGAGATTCATTTGCAGTTTGGACCGTAGGGTGAACATCTGTTCTGGCCATGTACTGTGCAATTTTTGAGTCGTGCGACGGTTTTGGGGATCGGCCGAGTTTCGCCTTCATCGTGTGTCGTGCATCGTGTAGTATACGTGGGGTAGAGAAGAGATTAACACCTCACGACCATCAATCGGGAGGATTTCAAACCTGTTTGAAGTCCTCTCGGCCGTCGTTAGGGTGTCTCCGCAGCCTCTCACACTGCGCACGCGCAAACACAGAAACGTTAGCGAACAGACGGAGCAGCACGTGCAGTGCAGCGTGTGATCTGGACACAAGCGATGGAGGCACAACTTGTAGAACTTTGGAAAGCTCATCCGAGCCTTTTCCATGTGGCATCACAAAATTATCACGACACAACAACCGTGAAAATAGTTGGATCTACACCGCTGCTAAATCACAGCTGCCTGATCAATGTTTTTCATTAGCAATTTAGCAAAGTTGATGGTGGTGGTGTGTCTGTGTGAGTGAAAGACGGAGAGGGAGAGAGTGACAGATTTTGTGTTATAAGCTTCATGTTATGGACGCACAGTGTGAGCTCTCAGGTCGCATCTGAGCATCGGGCCGTATAGTGTGAGACCTTCTTCTGAACTTCTAACCCCTGCGAGTCAATCGTGCAGTTTGAGCAGAAGCTGAACAACACGACTGAAAAAATCGCACAGTGTGAGCCCAGCTTAAACGTGTCTGAAAAGTCGCTAAATATTGCGACAAAGTCGCTAAGTTGGCAACACCGCTACTACTACCTCTTCCGCAATAATGTGTTTTCCTCTGATTGGGAGAAAAGAAAGGGGAGTGTACGGAATGATTTGATTGTCTGGTTGAGATTTTCATTGTTACGGTTCTAAATAAAGTTTATTTAAAAACTACGACTACCTCTTCCTCTATCTTTATATCGCGGTGCGCAGACAACTTCAGGTGCCTTAGTGGATCGGAACAGCTTTTTCTCATATTAACAGCAGTTGCTCTCGAAAACCCAAATATTGTCCTATTAATTACATCACCTGTATTCCTCTGAAATATTTATTTTACCTTTAACTGAATACAATTCTTCTGTTATTCAAATCTGAGTATTTGTTGCTTTCCTGTTATTTACCACATTCTAACATTATATGTTCAAATGTCTCCTCTTGTCCACAGAATTCACAATTCCCTGTGTCATGCTTGTTCATATTTTTAACATGAATATTATATATATATATATATATATATATATATATATATATATATATATATATATATATATATATATATATATATCAGCCCTCTTACCTTGTGTAGTAAATGAAAATCAGGAGTTCTTTGTATAACCATGGTGGTAAAACTGAAAATGATGCTGCTGAACTAATACTTTTCTTACTAATTCCTTTCTAATGTATTTTTCCCTGTAATTTAACCAAAACTTCCTGTTGATTCCCTTTATTTTTCTTGTTTTTGACAAGGTTTAACTATATCATGTGCTATGTGTTTTTCACCATGTCCCTTTAACTTTGCCCAGTAAGTTAAAGCTGATGTCTTCTTATTTCTAACAGTAGTTCATTCATTTCGACTTGCAATTGAAACATTTTAATGGCCCCAAAACACAACCTCAGCACTTGATACTGGGTTTTATCCAAGTGATTTAACAATCTTTTAGCTGCTGAGCCATAGACCAGACATACATAATCCATGATCTAATGACACTTATATATAAAGCTTTTCATGTTGTTTTTTCTGCAACCCATTCGCTGCTTTTGAAACATGTAAAATATTCAAAACCTTTTTAGATTTCTCAGTCATTTCCCCAATATGTGTTTTCCATGTAAGCCTTTTAATCAAACCTAATCACACGAGCCAAGGTGTGAGAATGAAGAGAGGCAGGGAGGAAAGGGCGATGGTTTTATGAAATCCAAAGCAAAGTGGTGGAAATGAGAAGTACAGGACGAAACAGGAGAGTGGAGACGGTTATATCTCGACTGAGATTCGGACACACTGGTTTAAATAGCACATTTTTAATAAGTAAACACTGTACAGAGGAGTGTGACTGCAGTAGGGAACAGGAAACAATAGAACATGTTTTATTGCATTGTCAGAAGTATGATATGGAAAGGAGACAACTGCTCAAAAAGCTGGACGATACGAAAGTGAAGTTGGACTTGATTGATTGTTTCGCATGAGCTCTATAAGTGAAAGTTATCAGGCTGTATTTTGGTTTTTAAGGCATTTGTTCGGAAAGATTTACATTATTATTATTATTTATTTATTTATGTCATTTCGGTCCAAACTCCACACCAGTTGGTGGCGGTAATGCACCATTTTGCCGCCAATAAACCCTATACAGAAGAAGAAGAAGAAGTCGAAAGCGTAGCCTCTGCATGAGCGTCTCAGACACAGATTCGTAGTCAGTGACTTTCAGCTTTATTTAAACCTTAAATGTAATCTGATGTGTTCAGGTTTAAACTCAGGTTTAGTTGTTCAGTGAAAATACTAGTGATGGGCATGAAGCTTCATGAAGCACTGAAGCGTTTCATCCAATTGGTTCATCCCAGCGCAAAGCTTCATTTGCTCTAGTAGGACACCTACTGGACGTAAAAATATTAGTTGGCATGAATTTGAAGAGTGTGGCCTTTTGCACACAGCCTGTAAATGTCAACAACAAAAGGAGTGTGTAACACATCTATATTGCAGTGATGGCAGTATACTGTGTATATTTATACTGGCAGTATGGAAAATGATTATTTGGAAATGATCATTTACTGTGAGGTGAGGTGTGGTTGGGGTGTGGACAGCGGTTGTGCTTTTGTAACGTTGAGGTATGGACAGCTACACACTGAGCATCAGTCCTGCCCATATTTTATTCAGTAAAAACTAAATTTTCACTGCTTTTATAACCTTTAGTGGGGAGAACGTAGCTAGGATTTAATGATTTAACACATCTTTTGAATCCTTTGTCCTCCACAATGCTAAATGGCTGTGAGTCCTCAATCACCATGCTGACCAGGTCTTCATCTATTTGAGATTGTTCTCCTGAGGAAAGACAATAAAGATAAAGCACAAGTTTAAATATCACACACGTAACTTATAACAGCTGTATAATATTGTTATATCATTTAGTAACATTACTGCATGCTATATTATCATGGCATTTGATGGCTCACCTGGTCTTGCTCCACAATCGGTGTTCCCCTTATTCTCATGCAAAGCTCTGTAGTGACTAAGCATGGATGAGGTGTTGCTGTTATATCCCAGCTCCCTGGCACATAGCAAACACTTCACCTTACAAAAGTACAGACAGCTTAACATAAATTGTATCGCACCATCAGTATTATGAAAATACATCTTCTGTAGAAATCTACATACCTTGTTGGGAGGATCCATCCATCCATCCATCTTCATCCGCTTTATCCGAGGCCGGGTCGCGGGGGCAGCAGCCTAAGCAAAGAGGCCCAGACCTCCCTCTCCCCAGCCACCTCCTCCAGCTTATCCGGGGGAATACCAAGGCGTTCCCAGGCCAGCCGAGATATATAATCTCTCCAGTGTGTCCTGGGTCTGCCCCGGGGCCTCCTCCCGGTGGGACATGCCTGGAACACCTCACCCAGGAGGCGCCCAGGGGGCATCCTTGTCAGATGCCCGAACCACCTCAGCTGGCTCCTTTCGATGTGGAGCAGCAGCTGCTCTACTCTGAGCCCCTCCCGGATGGCCGAACTTCTCACCCTATCTCTAAGGGAGAGGCCAGCCACCCTTCGGAGGAAGCTCATTTCTGCCGCTTGTATCCGCGATCTCGTTCTTTCGGTCACTACCCACAGCTCGTGGCCATAGGTGAGGGTAGGGACGTAGATCGACCGGTAAATTGAGAGCTTTGCTTTTACACTCAGCTCCCTCTTCACCACGACGGACCGGTGCAGCGTCCGCATTACTGCAGCTGCAGCCCCAATCCGTCTGTCGATCTCCGGCTCCCTTCTCCCATCACTCGCGAACAAGACCCCGAGATACTTGAACTCCTCCACTTGGGGCAGGAACTCATCCCCGACCCGGAGTGGGCACTCCACCCTTTTCCGGCTGAGAACCATGGCCTCAGATTTGGAGGTGCTGATACTCATTCCCGCTGCTTCACACTCGGCCTCGAACCGTTCCAGTGCGAGCTGGAGGCCCTCACCCGATGAAGCCAACAGAACCACATCATCTGCAAAAATCAGAGATGAGATTCTGAGGCCACCAAAGCGAAAGCCCTCCGCCACTTGGCTGCGCCTAGAAATCCTGTCCATAAAAATTATGAACAGAACCGGAGACAAAGGGCAGCCCTGGCAGAGCCCATCACCCACCGGGAACGAGTCCGACTTATTGCCGGCAATGCGAACCAAGCTCTTGCAACGGTTGTATAGGGATCGAATGGCCCGTAGCAATGGGCCAGACACCCCATATTCCCGCAACACCTCCCACAGGACACCCCGAGGGACACGGTCGAATGCCTTCTCCAAGTCCACAAAACACATGTAGACTGGTTGGGCAAACTCCCATGCACCCTCAAGTTTGTTGGGAGGAATAAGATCAAAATGTTCCCACACAGGGGAGGACATCCTCCTCTTCTTAGCTGGCTCCATTCTCTCCTGACTTTCTCTCCTCACTCTCAGAAACCTCCAAACTCTCACTAACCGCAACTCTCAATCAAACACCCACATTTTGAATGAAGTCTGAGGGGTTTATATCGCTGTCATAGCTCGCGGCAAAGTTCAAACCACTTCGTGAACCAGTCACGTGGTACAGCGAGGCTTCGGACGTCATCATTTTCAGCTCCTCCCATAAATGAAGCAAGCCTCGATACGCGCATCGCGGAAACGCCCTCTCCATTACTCGACACACGCTTCGAAGCCTCGATACAAAACGTCACATCACTAGGAAATGCCAACAGACTCAGAACAAACTAAGAGTCAGATCGGCAGAAACAGAGATCACGGACATGTCTGCTGTAACTGCAACGCTCTGCTCCACGCTGATGTTTGTCGTGTTCGTCTCTGCAGGTGAGGTTTACCTGTTTTAAGCCCAAATATATCTGACGCTGACATAAAGACGATTAAATAGTATCAGCCTCTTTATATGTTAACAAAATTTCGTAAAGAATTACTTTCATATGGATTCAGTTTGTCTGTGTGTGACGGAGACAAGAGGCTGAGTGGACATTTAGCATCTGTGTGGACAGGAAGTGTCCCACTGTAGCGACCGCACGCGCCGGAGCACGCGCAGTAGTGAAGTGCGGGTCTATCCTGAAATATCGATTCCTCCGATACCAATCATTTATGTTCTAGAATCGATTCTCACATTAAAATATCGATATTTTAGTAATTTAGGGTACATTTGTAGTTTATCATTAACAGGAACACAGTGGGAAGAAGCTATAACATTCGGATTGTCTACATTCAAAGGAACTACTTCCTCTTCCGCCTCTCATAGTCATGTGCGAAATATGGCTGTATAAATGTATGGCTGATATGGCCAATATTATAGTTATTATATTAATCATTCTAAGTTATTACAGCAGTGAGTTTGAACTCTCAAATCAAATCACTTCTGTTGTCACGTCACATGTGCAGGTACACTGGTACAGCACATGTGCGTGAACTCTGTGTCAAATACTGAGCCTCAGTAAAGACTCAAGTTGCAGTTATTATGTCCTATCACCTTAAATCTTCACTCAAAGACACTCAAGTATCTGTGACAGTGTATATGTAGGTGTATTATATTTAACCTCCTAAGACCCGAAGTCTTCCATGACATGCATTTTTAATTTCTCTTTGATATCTGGGCACATGGGGGCCTGATGAATGTAAAAGCAGAGAATTATCAGATTTTTTTTTTCACCTTGTTTTTTTTTTAAGAACAATAAGAGCCACATATGAGGATATTCGTTTAAAATATTTGACAGAACACTGGCAGTATAACGTCCTCGTACGTGGATATCAGGCCCATGCAGAGCGAAATTCAGTATTTTGGTCTAAATAACCCAAAATGTGATGTCCACATATGTGGACGGCAGGTCCTAGGAGGATAAGAGACAAATGTTCCTTCAGTATGTTGGCATTACTAAATTTGGCTCAATGCTTACATATATGTGTAAAAAGCAAACGTACGAGCTGTGATAACTGTTTCTGATAGAATGAAGAGTAGACTGATATATGAAATATTCCTTTATTGGGTGAGAAAATCACAGCATGTCATAACTGCTTTAAGTCACACAGAATAGATATCAGAGCCTTAAACAGGCTGACTTCTGCTAAATGGGTCAAACTGGGCAGAAAGTCTACAAACACGTAACATCCTTATAGAATATGATGTAACACTATAGATCAACTTACCTCAGATTATATAAAGCATATAAACAATTACAGCAATATGATGCAACAAACACAGCAGCTACTGATCCAAAATACTCAAAGCTTCATAGAACTCAAACAAACATTGATTTTTATATGCAGCTACAAAGCTTCTTGTTCAGTGTATACAAACAGCTGTAGCTCCATAAAGGCAGCATGCAGAGACTCAGTGTCTTATAATGAGAGGCTGCTTTCTCTCACACATTATGTTCACTTATTATCAGCACATGTTGTTGTTCTGTGGAAGCTAACATCTTGTAGTTTCTGACACTTTGCATCTTTAGCATGAGGCTAAAATTCCCCCTCAGTGGGTCACTGGTGACCTGCTGGATGTTCAGAGGTTCACTAAATCCAACATGACTAAAAACTCAAATGTCAAAGGAAATAAACAAAAATATTTAAAGTCAATCATTCTGATCATAATTGTACTTTGACCTTTAACCTCTCTGCTCTGTGTTGTTTCCTCTTTCAGAGCAGAAAAACATTACAGCTCAGTCTGGACAGAACGTCACTCTGACATGTCGAGCTCCAAACAACAACATCACAGCTGTGCACTGGAAGAACGCTGACCTGAAGCCAGAATATGTGCTTTTGTACCAGGATGGTCTATCTGATCCAACACACCTGCATCCATCTTTTAAGAACCGGGTGGATCTGCAGGACAGACAGATGAAGGATGGAGACGTGTCTTTGATTCTGAAGGATGTGACGATTAATGACACTGGAACATACGAGTGTCATGTGTTCATGGCAGAAACAGACTCATTGAAGATTCCCAGCATCATCCACCTGGCTGTTGTTCCTGCAGGTGAGTGAGTAGAGTTGAGTGTGTGTGTGTGATCAGAGGTGAAGCTGCTTCCTGGTTGTTGATGTGTGTTTGTTGTATGGATGAGCTGGTGGATCTCAGAGGTAGACAGATGTTTCTCCAGCTGTTGTCTTTGTGGCTGTTTGTTTGTTTGTTTTTTACTTACGGTACAGAGTCATTAATGTCTGAGCGAACTATGTTACTTCCTGTGTCAGACTCTCTTTTTACCTGGTTAAATCACCATGGTGACTAATGTTAAAAACATAACCTGGTCATGTCCAGCATGTGTTCAGTGTGATGTCGATTCTCTGCTGGGGGAAAATGTTTCATATGTGCAGCTTTTTAAACGGTATCTCACTAAAACCACTGAGTGTAACATCAGACTCACAGAGTTTTAATTTAGTGATGTGTAAACCGTGTAAATGTTTCGTACTGGATTCTAATCTATTGCCCAGGTGCTGACGTTAAAGCTACTAGAGGATAAATTATAAGCTTCATCAGGATATTTATCCCCAAGAATACATTTTAAATCCAATTAATTTCATTTGATCAGTTGACACCTCACACCTGTTTCTCACCTGCAGGTCCGACAGGAGGACGCACAGAGGACGGAGGGAAGGAGGATGGAGGAAAGGAAGGCAGAGGGGAGGAGGATGGACCTGTTGGATTGGCAGTTTCTGCTGCGTTTCTTTGTGCCGCTGTGCTTCTTGTTGTCTGTGTTGTTAGGTTTTGGATACAAAGACGACTTCAATCTAAGACTTACGATGATCCAGAGATCACACAGCCTCTTACGTCTGCGCAGGAGGACAGTTACACAGATGACCTGAAGATAAGTTAGAAATGAACCATCGTTAACATCCAGGTTAATTTCATTCAAATTAACTTTAAATTAAGCCGTTTTTTTGTGTTGGTTTAAAATATCGACCTCGTGTGGCCTTTTCTTCTTTAACTGCAGCACAGTGTGAAAAAGTTTGTATAACAAGCTTGTTTTAGGTGCTGTTATGAAACAAAAAATTCATGCAGCTGAACTGTAGATGTTTCTCTCTGACTCTGAACTGTGAACCTCGCCAGCTTCTATTCAGCTCCTGATGCAGGAAGATGAAGTGAACAATATAAATGTCCTTAATGTGTCTTCATCTCTATGTCCCATCTTTACATTTATACCTGTGTAATGTTGTTTTTTATTATGGGTGTTTTTGTAACGTACAGAGGTGAAAGGTTGAAAGGTTTTCTTTATGTTCTTGCAGTTATGAAATTATGATCTTTATCTGTTTTGTGAACAGACTTCTGATTGGCTGTTTCATGTGATGAACCAGAAATAAATGATTCATGGTGATGTTGTTCGTCTGCTGCAGATTTCAGGCCTGACACGTCTTCTTTTCACCTCCACATGCACATCATGCTGCATTACACCAACATGCAAGTTGTTAGCTTGAGGATCACCTTGTAGCAAAAAAGCTATTTTATAACTGTACAGAATGGTGTTCATCAGTTTAATGCTGGATTGTGTTGCTGCACTAATCCTCAGTCAGAAGCCGTACATGCACCAGAACGTTTGTTTTGTATGCAATGTGACGGTGAATGAGGAGCAGACATTAAATGTTGTTTTTACAGCTCCAAATGTCAACAACAGTCACCTCAAGGTGCTTTATATTGTAAGGTCGACTCTACAATAATACATGATGTGGTTTGTGAAAAAGAAACATAATTGGCCTAAAACACTCACATAACAATCTTCTTATGGAGTTTCATCACCCTGATTTTGTAAGCAAGCAAAAACTGCATGGTGCATTAAGGATTCTGAACAATTCCTAAATGCACCACAAGATGGCAGTCCAACACAAAGAGTAACAGTTCACAATGTAACGCCTGTTTACCACAGCTACAAGAAGTTCAGACATGGAAATGAACTACTAAACCAGGGGTGTCGAACTCCAGACCGGTAGAGCCGCTGTCCTGCAGGTTGTAGAGCTCACCCTGGGTCAGCACACCTGAATCAAATGATTAGGTCATCACCAGGCCTCTGAAGAACTTCAAGACATGTTGAGGAGGTCATTTAGCCATTTAAATCTGCTGTGTTGGATCAAGGACACATCTAAAACCTGCAGGACACCGGCCCCTGAGGCCTGGAGTTGGACACGCCTGAACAAGTGCAGACACGATCAAGCCGACTACTGAGCCACGGTTACATTTTGAGAAGAAGAAAACAACTCAAAGGATCGATTACTCTAATCTGTGTGATTGCGTCCTGCTGTACCACTGATCATATTGATATCTTAACCTGTAACCAGTGATGTCCTTGCATCCATTTTGTTGTAGTTTTTGATACACAAATTTACATCAGTTTGTTCTGAACAAAGTTTACATCTGTTCAAAGTTTGGATGCCGATGATAATGTGGTGATTATGTGCTATAATATATATAATACACATATACTTCTCTGTTGACAAATCCAGTTGACAAGAATATTACATTAGGTTATCTAATGTTGGCATAAAGCACAGCAAACCAAATGTGCAAAGTCACGAGTTTCCTTTATCAAAGAAAAACTATTTTCTGAGTTATTTCTTGTTAAATTGGCCATTTTTCTCATACATTTCCCCTTTAATCTAGAAGAATTTGAGTCACATAAATAAATTGCTTATTTGCTGGTTCATCCTTTGAGTTAGGTGCCTTTTTATGCTTTTTAATGATTCATATGTCAGTGTTTTTAACAGCAATAAAAAACATCTTTTATTTAAAGGACAAAGGCACACAGCATTGCAGAGACTTGAACACTTTTACACGGTTTATTCACCTTTATGCTTGTGCATCATGTCTCTCTCTCTCTCTCTCTCTCTCCCCCCACAGGTCGCGGCATCCTGCTGAAATAGGGAGGGCATGATTAGATGATGGAGGACAGGTGTGTGGAGCATCCCCTGGCACCACACCCCACTGCTCCACCCCTCCCTGCAGCTGGGCCACAAACCACGCCCACCACAATGACATATTACTCCGGTAGCTGGACCCATAAAGATGACTCAGCACACAAAGGCTCGTAACTAAAAGAGTTTTATTACAAGGAAAAGACTTAATAAGGGTTTATGATTGGAGAGGCTGAGTGACTTCAGTGTGAGAGGAGCATGGGAGCTCTGTCAGAGATGACATACGTTGGTAACTACTGTAGTCAACAGCATAAGTAAAGATATCATCACACATCAAAAACACATAGAAACAGCAAAACTCACTTTTGGCACAAAACTAGCAGGTGTGCGACTGCAGGAATCTAGATTTTGACTTATCCAGGTAATTATTGGTTAACACCGGGTTTTCTACGAAGGTGCTTCACTTTGAGGTAAATCATCATGGTGACACATGCTGCGACACTGACCTGCTCTGGTGCTTTTTATTCATTATTATTCCTTTATAATTTAGAATGAGGTGGGTATTTATTACTACTGTACAAACATAATTGAGCTTGACAGTCATGACGCATTCACAGCACTAACAGGCGCACGCCTCCCTCTAGTGGTCACATTAAGTTCAAACATAGAAAAAGTGTTGGCTACCTATAACATAGTCCTGGGATCCCTTCCAGGCCATTCAAGCCCCCACTCACACCTTGACCCACGTGACCTCAGTAACTCAGTTGACAGCAGGGTGGGTGAGCCACTCTCAGGACCACCGCCAGCATCACAACCTCACTAGGAGTTAAATACCTGAGACTCTCCATCAGCTTTCAGAACTGAAGAGGTGAAGCATCCTCGTGACCATAAACAGAGGTCCAGTTGTCTTCAACTCAAACTCTTAAAAGTACCATGACCTGGATGATGGAGCATGAGGGAGTGCATGCATGGTTAGATAATAATGCTAACAGCTAACACTGTCACTGTGCTTTTCCCGTGTCCCGTGTTTCATGTCTAGTCACCTTGTCTCTGTGTTAAGCTTGTGTGTCTTGTGTCTGAGTTTCGGGAGGTGTGTTTCCTCTTTTATTTTGATAGTTCTTATCCTGTGTGCAGTGTATCTAGTCTTGCTTCCCCTTGTCTCGTAAGGTCGGCTTAGTCCCAGCTGTGTTCCCCTCCTGTTTCCTGTCTCCTATTCCCCCTGTGTATATATGGTGTGTTTCCCTCAGTTTCCCTGAGAAACTGAAGGAAACACTTGGATTGTTTGCGTGTTTTCCTGTGTTTCTTGTGTTTCATATTTAGCTTTCCCCAGTCTGGGTTTCAGTTAGGTTTTTTCCTCTGTTCATCAAGTCTGGTTTTTGTTCATAGTATTTTTACAGCCAGAAATAAATGCTCACTTTTGCTATCTTTCACCCTTGTCTCCGTGTGCCTGCATTTGGGTGGACAATCACCTCACTCCATGCTATCTGCTTTGCCAGATGTGACAAACACACTGTTAATTCTTACATACAGTCAAGTATAAATAACATTTTTGTGTTATTTAGTTATTAAACAGTGAACATGACAAACTGAACCAGTATATGTTAATAATTAAAGCAGATCACATTGAAATCGACATGCTAGCTAGCTAGCATGTGGATGCTAGCCTCCATGTAAAATACAAAGACAGTTAATGAGCTGCTTCAACAGCTCACAGAAAGTTGTAGTTCTTGCATGTTATAATGTTATAATATCATAAATAGATCTTATTGTTTACAACACTCACATCCTCCATCTTTCTCTCGTTGCTCAATCTCTGATCAAGCTCCACTCGCCTGGGTAACTTTATAATATTTTGTAGGCTATCGGGCAGATTTACTAAGCAGAACAAATTGTTATTCAGGGTGATCTACTAACAATTCACTATGATTAAAAATAATTATAATTTATATAGAAAGATCCAGCCAGTTCAGTTGAGTTATTACTGGCACTGATTTAGGGCTTTCAGTGTGAGTTAAGGTTTTAAACGAGGCAATTCAAATCAATGAGAGGAAGCTGAAAGAGAAGCAATATGTTCATGATATCAGGGTTGGTTCTCTTGACAGAAATCACTGGGCACTGTATGAGGTCCTGGGGACTGAGACTAAAGTGGAGCTCAGGATTTCTCCAAAGGAGAACTGCATTTTTACACATTTAATCCACCTTAAATGTGTGTGGAACAGCTGACCCAACTATTAGACAATAACATTTTGTGTGGCTTTCATTCACAAAGTGACTCTGAGCTTCTTTCATGAATCCAGGGGCTTTTTAATGTTAATGCTTTGCACTGTCAGTAACTCTGGCCCTAAATGTTTTCCAGTTTTGTGATGAAGAGATATTTTTACAGGCTGCTCTCATTTAAATATCATTTGCATAAAAACATCAGGGTACAAACACACTGTGTGCATTTTGGTTTCCACAGCAGACATCCTCCACCACATTTTCAATGAGACCTGTATAAAGTCATTCAGATTCTCAGCACACTTCTCTTTTTCTTTTTTTTCCAAGATATGTTTATTGAGCAATTCACATGCTTGTATGACAATGGGGTTTACAGCATCAGATAGTTGCTCTGTTTCTGTACATTTACATCACAGGCTCTTCTCTTTTTCTAAGTCCTTATCAGGTCACCTACCCACTGTGATGACATCCAAGTAAAGGGAAACTGGTCAGGAAAAGGAGACTAAGTTGATGTAATAAGTTGCTGTGATTACAGCAGAACTGCCAGAGAAACATCATTAAAGGACTGAAATGTTTCTTGCAGCCAAATTATCTGCAGTCCTTTTTCCCTTTTTTACAATATTATGAACAATGTCCCACCAGGTGGTAGGGAGCTGCAGGACAGTGACACTGGTCCTGTCGATCCTTCAAAAGGACACAAAACCAAAGAGTCCAGATCACCAAACAGTCTGACCAGGAGAGTATTA